CTACTGGACCGCCAGGAAAGTCCCTGAATTATATTTTAAATGAATAATGCTGTTATGTGTTTTTAAAAAATGCCTGGAAAAATACAGATCAAATTATTAACAGTGGTTGCCTTTTTCTGTAGGGAGTGATTAAGATGCATTTCTACTCTCTACATTTTTTATGTTTAAGTGCTACTTGGATTTCTAACAAAAATGCATACATAGTATTTTTCATAATTTTTTAAAAAGGAAAAAAATACATGTTTAGAAAAAGCTATAAAGAATACAACCAGGCATGAAGAACCTAGGGGCAAGACAGGAATAAAGACGCAGACCTACTAGAGAATGGACTTGAGGACACGGGGAGGGGCAAGGGTAAGCTGGGACAAAGTGAGGGAGTGGCATGGACATATATACACTACCAAACGTAAAATAGATAGCTAGTGGGAAGCAGCTGCATAGCACAGGGAGATCAGCTCGGTGCTTTGTGACCACCTAGAGGGGTGGGAAAGGGAGGGTGGGAGGGAGGGAGACGCAAGAGAGAAGAGATATGGGGATATATGTATATGTATAGCTGATTCACTTTGTTATAAAGCAGAAACTAACACACCATTGTAAATCAATTATACTCCAATAAAAACATTAAAAAAAAAAAAAAAAAGAAAGAATACAACCAGGGACTTACCTGGCGGAACAATGGTTGAGACTCTGTGCTTCCACCGCAGGGGGCGAGGGTTCGATCCCTGGTTGGGGAACTAGGAACCCGCATGCTGCATGGCACAGCCAAAAACAAACAAAAAACCCGTTAAAAAAAAGAAAAGAAGGGGCTTCCCTGGTGGCGCAGTGGTTGAGAGTCCGCCTGCCGATGCAGGGGACACGGGTTCGTGCCCCGGTCGGGGCGGGAAGATCCCACATGCCGCGGAGCGGCTGGGTCCATGAGCCATGGCCGCTGAGCCTGCGCGTCCGGAGCCTGTGCTCCGCAACGGGAGAAGCCACAGCGGTGGGAGGCCCGCCTACCGAAAAAAAAACAGAAAAAAAAAAAAAAAAAGAAAAGAGGGCTTCTCTGGTGGCGCAGTGGTTGGGGGGGTCCGCCTGCCAATGCGGGCGACGCGGGTTCGTGCCCCGGTCCGGGAAGATCCCACATGCCGCGGAGCGGCTGGGCCCGTGAGCCATGGCCGCTGAGCCTGCGCGTCCGGACCCTGTGCTCCGCAGCGGGAGAGGCCATAGCGGTGAGAGGCCCGCGTACCGCAAAAAAAAAAAGAAAAAAGAAAAGAATACAACAAGATAACACTGGCTATTTTTGGGTGATGGATGCCTCAGTAGTGTTGTGAAACCACCCCACAATGTAATGGCTTAAAAACATTTTATTTTGCTCAGGAATTTGGGGACAGTTCTGGCTGGCCAGTTCATCTCTGATTTACGTGGCATCAGCTGGGATGACTGGGGCTGGAGGTTTCACTTCCAAAATGGCTTCTTCACTCGCATGTCTGATGTCTCAGTACTCCCCGGCCTCACTCCATCTCCATACACTCTCTCATCTTCCAGGAACCCTCCATATGCTTTGTAAATCTCACGGTATGCTGGTCTCCAGGTAGCTGCACTGCTGACATGGTGGTTGGCTTCCAAGAGGCAGGAAGTGTGAGCTGCTAGGCCACAAAAGGGCTTTGTGCAAAACTGGCACAGCACCACCATATTCTGTTGGTTAAAGTAGCCACAGAGCCCACGCAGATTCAAGGGGGTGGAGATACAAGACTCCACCTCTTGATGGGAGAGTAGCAAGGTCACATTGCAGGAAAGCCCATGAGATGGGAGGTACTGTTGCAGCCATGCTTGTAAAACACACTGCCATGGTAGGGTTCAGGCAATTTTGGGTTTCTGCACTGCACCTGTCTGCATTTTCCAAATTTTGTACAAAAAACATGCATTATTTTTATAATAAGGAAAAAAATTTATTTAGAAAATATGTCTCACGACCATGCAGGCAACCATCAGTGCAAGGTAAGGTTTCTGTGTGCCCCCCCCCCCACCCGTGACTCATTTCCTCTCAATATTAGGCCCTATTTCTAGGTGATCAATCAGGAAAGGGGTAGGAAAGGAGCTGTCACATCACTAAGCCACACCTCAAATGCCGACCAGGGATTGAACCCGGGCCCATGGCAGTGAAAGTGCAGAGTCCTAACCACTGGATTGCCAAGGAATTCCCGAGGAATCAAATTCTTTTTTGTCATGACCACAAAGAAAAGTCTGCAACACTGGCTTCTATTAACAAATATTCACTGAGCATCCACGTATAAGGCATGATTCAAGAGTCAGCTAAGTAGTGTCATACTTATTAAGCACCTTCTATATGTAAAACGTAATACTTAAGCCAGGAGTTATAAGGTATACAAAATATACCTTATAATTAAAGGTATATTTAATAAGATGATTTACTGCCTTCAAGTTTATATTCATGGGCTAAAATATAAGGAAATAATCAACCATTATATGCAGAGCAAACGGAAATAAACCTCAAAATAGATTTGTGCGCAAAGTGTTGGAGGAACCCAGAGGAACTTAGTTTTAAGAGAAAGGCTTTGTGGAGGACATAGTATCTGAACTGAGTTTAAGAAAAAAAACATGGTTTTGTTGAAAGAAAACATGGCTTTGTTTGACAAGAGAGAATCAAGGGATTCCAGGCTAAGAAAATAGCAAAGACTTAAAGGTGTGAAAATATTGACTTGTTTTTGGAAAGATTGAGTAGAAAAGGAGGGTTGGAGGCAAATAATGGACACCCTGACTGCCAAACTCAGGAATATAGGCCACTCTACAGGCAAATGTCCCCTGAAGATTTTTGGAGGATAAAGTATTTGATCCACTTGCATTTTGGTTTGCGTTTTGGCAGTGGTATATACAGTGGTTTGGAGAAAGACACTGAGGCAAGGAGACTAGCTATGAGGCTGTAACTACAATATTTAAAAAAAGAAAGGAGGTGAGTCTAAATTAGGGCAGAGGGCGAGAAGGGGGTGGTAGTGGTGATACATAGGACCTGGAAGTGGCTAAATTTACTGGGAACGGGCAGGAGAACTGAAATAACTCAAGGCTTCTAGCCTGAAAGACTTAAGGAAGTCAGAGGGGCTATTAATTAAGACAGGGAGCACTGATTTGCAAGAAGCTGTTTGAGGGGCCTGGGAGATGCGCCCAGCAGGCAGCAGAGATTGGTACTAAAGAGAGAGGTCAAGTCCACAGTTGAAGGTTTGTGTTGGTGGGAGTGAAAGAATCCAGGCAAGGAGAGCAAAGGGAGAGGGCAAAAGGCAGGGAAATGCCTCCTTTTAAGGGGACAAAGCAGGTTACAGGGGTGGGAGGAAACCCAAGAGATGAAAGAACAAAACTGAAGGAGGGGAAGTTAGTGTCACGTGCTGCAGTGAGCTTGACTAGGGCAACCACGTAGGGCTCCTTCTGCTGACCTTGTTACTCTTCTTTTTTTTTTTATTTTTATTGGAGTATAATTGCTTTAGACTGTTGTGTTAATTTCTTGCTGTACAGCAAAGTGAATCAGTCATACGTGTGCTTATATCCACTCTTTTTAAGATTTCCTTCCCATTTAGGTCACCACAGAACACTGAGTAGAGTTCCCTGTGCTATACAGTAAGTTCTCATTAGTTATCTATTTTATACATAGAAGTGTATATATGTCAGTCCCAATCTCCCAATTCATCCCACCCACTTCTTCCCTCCTTGGTAACCATAAGTTTGTTCTCTACATCTGTGACTCTATTTCTGCTTTGCAAATAAGTTCATCTCTACCATCTTTCTAGATTCCACATATAAGCAGTATTATACGATATTTTTGTTACCCTTCTTGGAGGGTAAATCCAGTGCATCCAAAAACATGGTTGCTTACATTGGCGCCGTCCAACAGAACTTTCCACAATGATGGGAATGTTCTATGTCTGCGCTGTCCAGTACAGTAGCCACAGGCCACATGTGGCTACAAGAGCACTTGAAATGTGACAACTGAATTTTTTTTTAAATTTAATTAATTTATTTATTTTTGGCTGCGTTGGGTCTTCATTACTGCACGCAGTCTAGTTGTGGCGAGCGAGGGCTACTCTTCGTAGCGGTGCGCAGGCTTCTCATTGAGGTGGCTTCTCTTGTTGCGGAGCACAGGCTCTAGGCACGCGGGCTTCAGTAGTTGTGGCACGCGGGCTTCAGTAGTTGTGGCACGAGGGCTTCAGTAGTTGTGGCATGCGGGCTTCAGTAGTTGTGGCACACGGGCTTCAGTAGTTGTGGCACGAGGGCTTCAGTAGTTGTGGCACGCGGGCTGTAGAGCGCAGGCTCAGTAGCTGTGGCGCATGGGCTTAGTTGCTCCGCGGCATGTGGGATCTTCCGGGACCAGGGCTTGAACCCGTGTCCCCTGCACTGGCAGGCGGATTCTTAACCACTGTGCCACGAGGGAAGCCTTGAATTTTTGACTCAACAGCCAAACCCCTGAATTTTCAAGACACCAGTTTACAAAAAGGGCTGGGTTTAAGATACGATTTCTGATGACTCAGCAGAACCAATACCAAATAGTTTAATGCCGCTTTCTTGGCCGCATTCAACATGAGATATTGAGAAACTCTAGAATGAGTACCCTTTCGAATGGGCACTTAATTCTCAATGAGTTAACCTGAATGAATTGGCTGAAAGGGCCATTATATTGTTTGAATTGCTGAAAACCCTCAACAAACTTCATTTAAAATGTGTTTCACCACAACCATCCATCTTACCACATCCCTTCCCACTCCCCACCCTCTTATTAGCAGCACAGGAGCTTGGTTTGACGACCATGCCCAGGAACACAGGCTGGAGGGACTAAGGCCCGCCGCAGTGATTCCAGGCAAGTGGGGCTCCACGCCCCTTGCAACCAACCAGCTCTGCTACTGGTCCCTCCCATCTGTCACTCCACAGCTGGATATTCGGCTCCGAGGCTCCGGGACTCCGAAGCCATTCAAAGACAGCTTGTTCCCCTCCCAGAGAATTATTTTATACACCAAGAGTTTTAGAAAATCCAAAATAATTTTATTCACTTTTTCAGATTTTTGCCTCCACAAGGTGTTCAGCAAACATGCTAAGGCGACAGAATGTCTAGTTGGTCACGACATGCAACGCTGACCATTGGACGGATGACAGCAGCGACCACGCCCACCTGAGCTACTGGCCCCAGAGCACAAACGGGGTTTGTGGGAACACACCGAACCACACGGCACTCAGAACCTGAGGTAGGTCTCTTTACAGTACAAAAAACTTCTACACCAGTGTGAGACACTGATGAGCAAGAGCTGCTTAAAGTCGCAGACTTTGGAGAGAGGAAGAGACTCTGCAGCGACCACAGGGAGAAAGGGGAAAAGACCCACAAAATCCTGAACCCTGTCACTGAACTGTGGGCTCGTGGGGCAAATGAAGGCAAATGAAGAAGTACCACCGGGAAAAGCAGCAGTGGGCTCCAGGGTTTGGACCGATGGGTTGAGGAGCCGGAGAGCGCTGTGCGGTGGCCAGCGTTAGGAACCTGAGGCAGTGGGACACTTGGAACAGACTTGATGCTTGTTGAGAAACAGCAGAGAAAAGGAGGAAAGCAGGAAGGACACTCCCCCCTCACCGAGGAACGTCTCGGCGATTCTCATTTCCGACGGAGGGAACGAAGAGGGGTCTGGGACTTTGCCCCACTGCTCTCCCGACAGAAACAGTGAAGTGACAACAGGACAGAAAGCAGGAGCCCTGAGAATTCACGGTGCTCTGCGTGGCCTCCAGTGGCCCCCGCTCCACCCCGCCCTGGAGTGGCTGCTGGGGAGGCGGCAGGGGGCCCACTGGAGGGCCCGCTATTGCCACACGCCTTCCTTTTGGACACCCAGAAAACCCGGCACCATGAAACAACCAGCTGGGGAAGAACATATGCTACCCTTCCTATAGTCTAATAGTGAAACCAGATCCTAGTGCAGCAAACTGTACAAAAATGATAGAAAGGAATCTGCACTGTTCTTAGCACAGTGCTTATTTTAATATAAAATAAACGGCTTACATTTTCACTGGAAATATAGGCTATGTACAGAATTATATATAGATATAGCTACACGTATAAAGCTTCATTATAGGCCTCTGATACATATATAATAACGGTTCCCTGAACCTTTTAGAGTGCAATTAAGAACAAAAACTAAATTTTGTTTACATGAATATGGAATAAATACAATAATCAAAATATGACTCTCCCTAAAAGTGAAACACACAAGCCAATCCTGAATTGCTGTGCTAAAGATAAAATCGGGAAAGGCAAGGTTTCGGCAGGAGGACACGATGAGGGGCCCGCCCCAGGCAGGGAATGGCAATGCTCCAAAGAAAAGAGACTTGGGCAGCGGCGGGAGGAGTTAGCCCTTGACGGCGATCTTGTTCTCTGCAGCAGCAAACATGGCATAGAACCGGGAGCTGTCATTGGACAGAAGGACCGATGGGGTGTCGAACTCCACCACCTGTAAAGGAAGGAGATGGTATCAGAATGTGACTCGGGGACACATGGGGTGATTTAGAGGATCCACTGCTCAGGAACGGGGGCAAAGCCCAAAGCCCCCTGAGGATGGAATCAAGGTGGCAATTCAACTAGCCCTGTCATGCCCAAATGGGTTCTTTTTTTTTTCTTTTCCGACTAACCAGGGTTTAGTTAAGAGAAAGGTTAGAGAGAAAAACCTCCAGACCTCCTTCACATAAATCTCAATTCTTTCAGCCTTGGGTATGAAGGAATCAATCAACAAGGTCCTATAAGCTGCAGAGGAAAAAATTGCAGCTCAAGTCAAAGGCATACCAGGCAAATGTCATCTTGTTGTGCAACCTGATCTGAATCTATGGCTAGAAAAGGAACAGCTCAGGATGCCTAGTTGGCAGGGGGAAAAAGGGAAGTGAGTATAAAGTCAGTATAATCAACTCAGACAATTATCCATTCCTGTGATGGACTTCTAGGCGGCCACTGGAAATCATATTTCAGTAGAAAATGAATGATATGCTGGCAGAACCTGCCTCCCATGAGAGAGGACACATACTCTCCCAGCCTCCCCTGCTGCAGGGCAAAGGCATGGAACACAACTTTGGCCAAGGAGAGGAAGGGGACATCTCCTAGGGTGCTTCTAGGAAAGGTTGTCCTGACCGAGAGACAGGCATAAGGACAAAGTGTTCTTCCTTAGGACTGGCTGTGTGAGGGTATGACGTTGGGTGCTAGAGCAGACATCCTGCATCATAAGGGGAAAGGTAGACACTGGCCCTATTGAGGGATAGGCAGATTATAAGCAGATCCATATGGGAGAGGTAACAAGAGGAAAGGGCATTTTCGGTAGATGGGACTGTATGAGTAAGACACAGAGGTGAAAAAGCTTAGGGGATTCAAGATTGTTTATAGCCAACAGCACTGCAAGGAAATAGCAGGAAACGAAGAAGGCTGGGGGGCCAGATTGTTGGAAAGCTGGGACCAGCAAGAAGTTTGGCACCACTACATGACTGTAAAAAGCAGACATATAGGGACTTCCCTGGTGGGGCAGGGGTTAAGAATCCGCCTGCCAATGCAGGGGACACAGGTTCGAGCCCTGGTCCGGGAAGATCCCATATGCCACAGAGCAACGAAGCCCATGCGCCACAACTGCTGAGCCTGTGCTCTAGAGCCCGCGAGCCACAACTACTGAGCCTGCGTGCCACAACTACTGAAGCCCACGTGCCATAACTACTGAAGCCTGCGCGCCTAGAGCCCATGCTCCACAACAAGAGAAGCCACCGCAATGCCTGCATACAACAGCAAAGAGTAGCCCCCACTCAACACAATTAGAGAAAGCCCACACGTAGCAACAAAGACACAACGCAACCAAAAATTAATTAATTAATTAATTAAAAAACAAACAAAGAAAGCAGACATATAGTGGCTGGTCTCAGTAGCTTTGGGAAATTCTTGTGCATGTGAGTGAATTACTAAGTACATGTGCTCTCTGACCTAAGTCAAAATGTTACTGTTTACAAGCAACAAAAGAACAGGTAGTAAAGCATAATGAGAACCCCATAAGAGTGTTCCCAGCTCAATCTCTTGACTGGGAGGGCTGCATCCCACCCAAAAGGAACCAGACTACAGTCATTATGGCTGCTTATCTGAATGCTCAGACTACTCTAAGAGGGCCATCTGCCCAATCCTGCCAGGGGCCAGTTTTCCTCCCAGACAAGGCCACATGCCAAGCCAAGGTCCCTCGGGGGCTCAGTACCTGCCCCTGGGCCAGCACCATAATCCTATCAGAGCCCAGGACTGTATGTAGACGATGGGCAATCGTCAGCATGGTGCAGTCGGCAAATGCTTCTCGGATGGTCTCTTGGATCAGCAAGTCTGTCTCCGTGTCCATGGCAGCTGTGGCTTCATCTAGAATCAAAATCTGCCGGGGAAGAGAAGAAAAAGAGGGGTCCGACCAATTCCTTAAGCATTCTGGTTAATCTAGGTTTCACTAAAATGTATTTTATGAGTTGAATTTTACACCGTATATATTTTTTTCTAAATAGGTACACGCATATGTAAAAATACTGTTTTGCTTAGAACTGATATAACTTCAAACCCCTAGGTTTGCCTTGATTTCCATGAATGGAAGGATATATGTGAAATACTGATCTAACAAAAGACTCGCCCCACTTGCTCTGTAATTCTAAACACGTACAGTAATCTTTCTGGACCTCCCTTTTCCAGTTTTAAAATGAGGGGACTGGATTTGAGGACCTGGATGTGTCTTGTAGTTTTAAAATTTTTCAAATCCATGGTTTCCAGTACTACAACTACTCAGTGGCTAGAAACAAATTGCCTTTGGAAACTGAAGGCTTAGGGAAGTTAAAAATAAAAACAAACAAGCAAACAAAATATCCATATACCCAAATTGTGTCAAGGTTAATTTAGAAACATCTCTGGGCACACTCTTAAGAAGTGCTGCTGGGCTCAGAGCCAGGGATGCCTTTGGACCTCATGCCACAGGCAAAAGCTGTTCTTCCATCTTCCTGCGCATCTCTGCTGATCCCCCTTCCCCGCCACCCACCAAACTGCCTTACCTTACAGTGACGGAGCAAGGCTCTAGCTATGCACAAGAGCTGCCGTTCCCCCACTGAGAAGTTATCCCCATTCTCCATCACTTCAGATTCAAGTTTCAGAGGTAGCTGAGCAATCTAGGGAGAAAGGAAGTCGAGATTAGAAGGGTAAAAAAAAAAAAAAAAAAAAGTAAATTTTGAAAGATAGGAAAAAAAAAAAAGAATCTAAATTTTGTCAAAAATCCAGTGGCAAAAATAAATTATTCTGAAACAGTTGAAAGAATTATTAGCCCAGAACCTAGCTCACCTAGAAAGAAGGTACAGGTGTGATGATCACGTAGTAGGACCACATTTTCTAGGCCATTCCATATTTCAGCTAAACTATTCTATTAGTCTCATATCATCAAAACGTCCCAGAAATTCCAATATTTCGTCCCCAAAGCCTGTCATTTTTGGTTCTGAAAATATGGTCATGCGATGAGAAATGGGGTAGACGAAATTACTCTCTTTCTGAAGTCCAAAGCTGTAGGCCCACGGCTGTCAAACCTTTCTTTCCATAAACTATAGAACCTGTTCTTCAAGTGAACTTGTTTGAGGCAGCCCGATATAAAGGTGAAGGCAGAGCGGATCTAGTTGAATTAGCGGAAGAGACCCTGGGCTTGTGCACAGGAACACAAGAGACCCTACTTCAGGCCAGGGGTATCTGTAGATTGTGGCCCCTGGACGGGGCCTGCTGAGTTACCTTAAGAGGTCTGTGAATCCATACACACACTTTCTCCACAAGTGATATATCTCTTACACATATATAGATGCTTCAAAAAGATGTTGTACTGTTATAATGAATAAGAATAGAACTTGATTTTAAAGCATGACTGAATTCTGAGTGGTTGTCATTAATATCTTCTCAATGAATGGATAGTAAAAAGGGCAATATGACCATGGGAGGGGGCTAAGGGGGGAGGTGAGGGTCGGGAGAGAACAACCTTTATGCCCTTTCTGAAATGCCTGGGAAGCCCTGCTCTGAAGTGCTCCTCCACAGACATCCTGGAGGTGGAGGGAAAGGCTGGGCTGGACAGAGGCAGCCACAGCAGGCTGGAGACTGACCACAGCATCACTGTGTTTCCAGCCCTGAAATGCCAGCAAAACTCTCCGTCAGTTCTTTACTTACACATTCTTTCATGTGTGTCCTTTCTAGGGCATCCCAGATCTGGTCTTCAGTGTACTGGTTGAAGGGATCCAAATTGGACCTAGTGAGAAACATAACAGGAATTCTCAAGGATCCAACATGTACGTGACCATGCTGCACAGGCTGACTGTGGTAAAGGTTTAGACACTGGGGCTCAAACTCCATCCAGCCACAGCGGGAGGCTGAGATGGGAGCGCTGCTGCCTGCCTGTCGCAGGAATGAGCCTCTTTCTTCTTTACAAAACTTTATTATTTTTATTATGTAAATGATACAAGTTAGTTATAGAAAAATTAGGAGATATAGACATACAAAGACAAAACAAAAACTAATGTATGTTTAATGACTTCTTATCAGACCCTCAGAAACAAACACTGTTAGCTCTTTGGCATAGATCCTTCTAGATTTTTTCTATGCATATACATGTTAAAATCTCTCTCTTATATGTATAAACTTAGAAAAACACCCTCTTTCTTCTTGCTGCACCAGGGTGAGAGCCTGTCACTGAGCAGGGGTCTCAACAGCTAGCTGACCAGGAAAGGAGCCAATCCAGCAGGAAGGCAGAGGAGAAGGCTGAGCATAATGGGTTCAGGAGGAAGGATTTTACTGGCATCGAAAACTAGTTTGGGGACTCTTGCTTACTGTACTAACAGTATCCACCTCAAGGACATCAAGATTGATACCAAAAGAACAGGTCTAGGTATTTCTGGAAGTGTTAAAGACAGGAGAAAAAGCTCTTTGTCATGGAGGATGAGGGTGAACAGGTGGTGATGAAACATATTGCGTGGAAAGGGGGCTGTTGCATTAATTTGGGGTGTCTTGTCTCGAGCTAAACATCGCGTTTGTGGGTCTAGTAATCTGAAAGGTATTAGGTATAATTTGCTTTGCTCATAAATTATGGTTGGCATATGGGAAATAGAAAAATATTTGAGAGAACCTTAGCTCTGATCCACACTCGTCTCTGTGTCTGTGGAGACTAATCCCAGGCGTGCAAACGCAAGCAGGTCATTAACGCAGAATTCCGCCCGAGAGGAGAACGCAGGTAGGCACACGCCATCTCCGGACTCCTGAGCAACTCTCTAAGCAGCCCTGCTCTCTCGTGACCCTTTGCACGTGTGCTTCCCCCGACTTAGAACATGCGACCTCTCCCCACCTTTTTACTTGAGAGGCACTGGTAAGACAAGGGCTCTGGAGCCAGACTGCCTGACTCCTTCACAGCTTCTATCAATGACAGCTGTGTGACCTTGGCCAAGTTAGCCTAACTACTCTACGCTTCAGTTCCCTCAACTGTAAGACAGGGATAAAAGAGCACCTTCTCAAAAAGGTTGTTTCGGGGACTATATTTCACATGTATAAAGCACTTACAGCAGTAGCTGCGGCAGGACCGGCAGTGTGTACGTGAGAGCTACAATTACTGTGTTATTATTATCATTGTTCTTATTCCCTGGCTGTGATTCCTTCTTGTCCTTCAGCTCTCAACTTAGATGGGGTCTTCAGGAAGTGTCTCCTTACCCTTCAAGCTTGGACTGGTGGTCCCCCTGCCCACCCCTATAATGGCACTGGTCACTTTGTTCACTTGTCTCTCTCCTCCATTGGATTAGAATCCTTGTCTGGATCTTATTCACTGTTGTAGCCCATGTATACTGTCTAATATTTTTTGTAAGAAAGAAGAACTTATTCCTCCCATGCTTATTTGAGGTCCTGATAACACATTAGTATGTCACAACTTAAGTATTTTCAGTAATAACAGAGGCAGAAAGCAGCATGGTGGAGGGCGGTGTGTGCACACACAGGATCCGGGCAGACTGGGTTCGATCCCTGCTCTGCCTCTTACCATCCGCGTGACCTTGGACAAGTTAGTCCTCAGTCTCCTCATCTATAAAATGGGGGGATAGTGACACAACCTGGTAGGCTGCTGTGAACATTAAAGCTGTGTAGATACAGTGCCTGGAACATGGCAGACACTTGATAGCTGGTAGCTGTTAAACTGACAGGGGACATGGTCACTTTAGATGCCTGGTTGCACTGCTTGGTGGTTTTGACTCTTATATTTGATGCATTTTTCAAGTGGACACAATAATCCCAGGATCCTGAATACCAGGATCCGAAATAGTTCTGATCAAGTCCTAGCCGTGAATGGTCTAGATGGGGAAGACATTCTCTGCAGGCATGCCATCTAGGAAGAGCCCTCTCACTTAAAGAATGATGGTCTAAAACTGAAATGGCAGAGCATGGGCCTAAGTCCAAGGAGAAGCTCACCTGCTTCTAATCAAAAAGAGATGCTGAAAGCACCTGATCTTGCTTGTCCCTCTAACACTCTGGAGTCTGCCTGAGCTTGCCTCAGGGTTGATGAGATCTGCTCTCTCTCCAGCTGCCTTGTACACTGATACACCAACAGATCAGGGTGAAACCTGTGTTCTCCATCCCAAGTCTGAGGGATAAAAGGTTAATCACGTTTTTGTTTGGTTCAACACAGACTGGTGGGAATTCCCATGGGGCAAGATTAGCACAATCCACCCCCCCCCAAAACAACAACAACAACAAGATTAGCACAGCCTCTGAGTGACATTTATCTAGATGGCAATGCAAGTTTTCACAATAAAATATTTTCTCTCCTTTTGTGTCTAATATGGACTTTCTCATAGTTTATAGCAGATTTCCTGAACTTAGGGGTCACAACAGGCATCTCACTTTTGAACCATAATGCTCAGAGCTCTGTTTTCTCTTTCTTTTTTTTTTTTTTTTTAAAAAAAACAAGTTCCTCGGAGCTCTTTACAAGAGTCTTCGGAAGTCCTCATCAAACCTAGACAGAAGGGGCACCCGCCCAGCGGGAAATCACAACTGGTTCCATACAGGGGTCATGTCCTGCTTTGCCTGGTCTCTTGCTCCTTGCCCTCCACCTTGGTCTCTATCCAGCTGCCCCACGGGACTGCACGCTGGAGAATGGCCTCTGCCCATTACAGGGAATCAACTCTGACCTCGGGCAGTAGGACCCGAAGTCGGTGCACATGTGGTTTAGTGCCGGGCTGCTCTGGATCTGCATCCTGCTCTGACTGTGATTCCCACTTAGCGTCATGGGACCCTATCGAGCTAGAATCTCCCCCTGTCGGACAGTTCTGCTAGGTCAGTTCCTGTTGTGTCTCCATGGGCCCAGGTTCCTATCTTGACAGCCTGCTCAGGCTCCCAAGTTTCGGGGCCCCACCGTGCTCTGGTTTTATCTGTGAGCTCCCTGATTATAAATATCTGCCTTTTGGGGTCTCTGAACACCGCCCAGTTGCCACTGCTGTGGTCTATTTGCCAGAGGAAAATCCATATTACCTAAGGCTGGAATTCCCAGCACCAATAACTTGATAAATTGCCACCTATGGTTTGATACCTCACTTTCTGGATTTCCGGTTTAGCCCATCTCCTACCTCTTAAATCTTCCCTTTCTCTACCTCTTCCTGGAAGGAATGTGTAATTCAAGGTTTTAGATTCTACCACTTGTTCAGATTCCTCCCATGTCTGCTGAGTTGAGTCCTTTGAACAGAGTTAAAGACCTCAACAACCATATGTTCAAGATTGAAGGGTCTGTAATGTTGGTTTCCAGGAAAGGAATGTGTACAGTTTCCCTAGACTTAGTCTAGGAAGTGTTCTTTAATACTGTACAGTGATGCCTAGTGTTATGGGTTGAAAAGTGTCTCCCAAAAAGATATGTTGAAATCTAACCCTCAGTACCTAAGAATGTGACCTTATCTGGAAATAGGGTCAGTGTAGATGGTATTAGTTAAGATGAGGTCATCCTGGAGTAATGAGGTAGGGTGGACCCTTAATCTAAGTAGGACTGATGTCCTTATAAGAGAGCCACATAAAGACAGAGACACAGAATGAGAGGGCCCATGTGACAACAGAGGCAGAGACCGGGATGATGAACCTACAAGCCAAGGACACCAAAGACTGTTGGCAAACCACTAGAATGTAGTAGAGGCAAGGAAGGATCCTACCGGTTTCAGAGGGAGCATAGCCCTGCTGACAACTTGATTTCATACTTCTAGCCTCCAAAACTGTGAGAGAATAAATTTCTGTGGTTTGGGGCCACCCAGTTTGTGGTACTTTGTGGCAGCGTGCCGAGAATACAAATACATCTAGTAATTCGTCAGACACCTCTTACCAGACAAATAGTAAGTACGCAAGAGTGTACTGCTCACTGAGCAGCTGCCCCATCAGACTCGGCAGACACATAGAGGGGCTTGACATTCAACCCCGCCCAGGCCCATCACACCAGCTGAAGGAGACTCCCAAGACTAAGCAATGGGTTCCAGATATGTAAGGAATATTTACGTACACCAGCAGGTGGTAAACATGCACATTAAGGCAGACCAGACTGATCTCAACAGGGAACTCAATCAGGAATGAAAAAGAAATATATACCCTCAATAGAGGGGCCAGATGGTCCTGGTCTCACCCACAGATACGAATGAAAGCAAAGTTATACATCCACGGCATCAAGTACTCAGCTGGGTAGATGGAAAGAAAAGCATCTGAGCATGAAGGCACTTATTTTTAACAGTCGGAACTCCTGGAGTCCTATGTTGCTCAAAGTGCATTTTCATCTTTGGTTCTTTATATGTTATTTTTAGCAATATTCTAAGTTTACCTACTGACTAAGATTACTGATTACTGATTACTGATACTGATTACTACTGATTAAGGTCAAGAGTATCTCCCGGGGTGTTTGAGGATACAGCAATCCCCTCCAGGCACACAGAAGACACCATGCTGAACCACATCGTCCTCTGTCGGTGGTGTGTGCCTCCCTGCAGCCTCAGCCTCAGGACAGGAGACTACGGGACCCTCAGACCTCCGTCTCTCAGGAAGTTAAAGGAAAACTCAAAATAGTTATTCAGAAACAAGGCTTGGCTTTTAGTTAAGAGTACATGAAAAAGACTAAGAGAACAGCAGAGGTTGTGTGAAAATTTTTTTCAAGAAGGGGGACAGAGGCTGTGCAAATCTGAAAGCAGATGAGAGTTTGAAGATGTCAGAAAAAGAAAGGTAACTAATGGTCAAGACCCCTGCGGCAGCAGG